GAGTAGGTCAGGAAAGTAAAGGAAAGACTGCCCCCTTCTTGTGTTGAATTTCTTCCGCTGTGAGAGAACTTCTTTTCCCTCCTGTTCAGCTGTGGGAAATACATCTCAAGGGAGGAAATCTTAGGACGGGATCCAAATGAGGAGCTGGTATATAACCGAGAGGTTTTGGTGTTCCAGACACCAATATCCAGCACTAAGAGGGCTGACTGAATCCATCTACACGAGTGAATTAATTCTGGCATTAGACAGGGAAGAAACACCCACATCAGGAGTTTCCTCTCATCTTCCTTACTTCTAGGGCAAGATCAGTCCAGCAACTATTTCTACATCTCCTGCAGAATGTTGAAAGAGAAGAGGGCTTTGTTAAGTGCTCCCAGCTTTCTAAAGGAAGATGGAGATGTGACTTGCTGCCAGAGTCCCAGCTCTCCTGCTGTGTGCACACCTCATGATGAAACCAGAACACAAGTAAGAAGGTGAGACACCATTTCACTGCAGGTAACTGCAGTACTTTTGATCTCTCCTCTCCTTTGTTGGAAGAGTTTTCATTCTTCATAGTCCTCATTCTTTGGCTTCTAAGGGCAGGGCTACTGATGGGTCCCTTAGTGACACAAGGGGTAATCAGAAGTTGTAGGAAATAACAGAAGTATTCTGGTTGGGGATTTTTGGGGGGTTGTTTTTTCTTTTTTTCCCCCCTTAGATTTTGTCTTACAGTTCTTCCACCAAGAATTTGTGGGAATTTAACAAAATAAGACATGAACAAATCAATAGAGGAAACAGCATCTGAACCACAATGCAGGCATTTGTTGTCTCCTTGTGCATTAAATTACCCAATTAATGTTTCCTGTTGCCTTAGCCTGTCCTAATAAGGCTTGACTGTCGCTTATCAGCCCCTAATGCTCTAAATGATGAGCAAGAACTGCAGCTGGGTTTACAAGAGCCTTTGGGGCACAATACCAAACTCCCAGAGCACCAAAGATCCATCTTTGGAATTATGCTTATTAAGGGTTCTCATTCATTACCATTTACTTCACACAGATATCTACTAATAAGGTCAGCTTGGATTTATTATTTATTAAGTACTATTAAAATAGATACACTGGACAACCAATCTCTGTATAATGCATTTATCAAAAATAAGCTTTTTCTTGCATAAAAATGTCATTTCAGATACCAGTACTCCTTTGAGTGAACTGATTTTGCCCATTTTGTGGGCTTTTTTTTTCCTGAATGGGTGACCTAGAGCTTAAAATGTTTTGGGATAAGAAAATGTTTCCAGAGTAACTGAAAGTAATGTTACTGGCTGTGCGCATGAGTTAACTAACTGGAATAACAATGTTGGGAATGAGCTGTGGGTAATGAGTAACTAAGAGGGATAAATGATTTTTAATAGACAATGGTAGTGTCTTGAGAATGATGAATACTTTCCTGTCGTATGATTATTAAAAAAAATCTATTTTGCTAAGAGAGCCTTCTTATGAACTGAGAGGCTGGTGAGGGGGAGGAATAGATTCATTTAGATAAAATGCTATTAAATTGCCTGTATACTGTCCTGTCAGACAACTATCGACCCCATCCCACGGGAGCCATTGATTTCTGTGCAGAGAGCCGTGTGCTTTCTGAGCGTACTGCTTCAGTGCTATTGCTCTGGTAATCACACCCTGCTGCCCCTTTCCCTTTCTCTCTCTCTACTTCTTGTGGAAAGATTGATTGAGAGACATGAGGGATTTAGATTGCCATATTTGTTGTTGTTTGACCTTTTCAATTATATTCTGTTAAAATTGTAAATACTTCTTTTGTAGTAATGTACATGTGAATTTGTTTAAGTGGTCTGTGAGTAAGGCTGGGAGGAAGCATTTACCTTTGTTCTCCTGTAGCCCTACTAGAGCTGCCTCAGTTAAATGAATTCAAAAGCAGCTGAGGATGTTCCCTGCTTCAGTAAAGCCATCTGGGCTAGTTCTCAATACGAGATCTAAAGATGGGGAAAATAATCCAAACTAGTAGTGCCAGAGTCACATAAGTGCTCAAAAGAGAAATGATACGTGATTAAGGATCCTTGCTTTGGTTTGGATTGGCTTTCCTTCTTTTAGGCATTAATACCTTTTGACAGCTCTCAGTAATGATATTTTTTTAACAAAGCAAAATCACTCAAGGTGAAGAAATGCCAGCGTTAAAGTTGAAACGCAGTTTTAAATCTTCCCCCTCTCCAGGTAAATAAGAAACAAGGTCTTTAATGGTCATGAAATGGTCATACATTGTTTCTTGGTTAATACAGCTTCAGCTTACTAAACTGTTTGTCTGGAGGGTTATGTATATGCTTAACTTTTTCTACTATTTCTTGTTATTCTTATATTAGTTTCACTGTTCTGACTCTAGTATTGTCAGTGCTAAAGCAGGTGTTTGAATATCTGCTTGTGGGAATCTAGGTCCCTGCTGTTCTCAGAGAGCGTGCCTTCTTATTTCCATATTGGGGGGAATCTCTGAGTGGGAAAAAGCCAGGATAGACCTTCTTGCTTTACCTCATGCCAGTGCTAAGGGCACAGATAGCAATACTGATCTGGTGGTAGGTCACAGCTGTGTTTTAGTAGTCACAAGCTGTTTCATTAAGGCCTTGGCAGGAAAGTGTAGGATGGATTAATTAGACCCATGTACTAGCCCAGACTTACTTAAAGACCAGCGAACTGCTGAGTCCATCTTAGCACATGTGCACAAATATCTGAGTTTCAGTGCTTTGATTTTTATTATGCTGAGTGGGCAAAGATGCAAAAGCAGAATCACTGGTGATCTGTAAAAATCAATAAAGACAGGATGCAGCTTCTCCTTTGCCTTTTACTTGCCCATATCCTTTAATCTGTAGTAAACAGACATATAATGCTGTTCAGTGAAAATCACATTGCCTTACTCTGACCTTATGCTCCCTTCTTCCTGTGTAAAGAGATGGCAGAATCATGACGAAGCCACCACAGACAAGGAACGTCAAGTGCCTTATTAAAATTAAGCTGCACTCTTGGGCATGTAGCCCAAGGGTAGGTTTTCTCTATCTATAGCCTAGTAGTAGTTTGATAAAACTGCCACAGCCTGTTTTAGAGGTGACAGGAGCCCATGGGGCAGAGCCCAAGCCAGAAAAGTGTTCCAACACAGCTCTCACAGAGAGTAAGCCAAGGTGGGAGAGGGAAGTAACAGCACCCTGCTGATGTCCTGCAGCAGTTGTGAGTTTGCTGCCATAAAAGGGATCAAAGATGACTGTGGAGCACATTTGAGAGTGAGAGGGAAAGGGGATTGCTTAGTTAGAGGCTGTTTTGGTGAGGACACTGGGAAAGGCAGGCCCATCAGGAGGGACAACCACAACAGAAGAACCAGACAGAAACTGTCACTCAGCCGTGAAACTGTGCAGCTGAGATGGGAATGCTCAAGCTGGTGACAGGATCTGATGGAGAAAATCACTGACTGCAGCACCACAAACCCAATGTCTATCAACTTCTGTCCTGAAGGTGTGAGATTCTTTCCCTCCATGTTGGGGTGGGGAAAGGGGAGGTGAAGCTGCACTGTGTGGTTTTGTTAGAAGTACAGAGGGAAGGAGGTTACAGGGGAGGGAAGATGAGGGCCTAGAAAGACAGTAGGAAATGTGGGGGAGTATGTGTGTGGGAATTTGTACTGGGAATAGACAATGTTACCTGTATCAGGGGAAACCTCATTCTACAAGTACGTATGAAGGGGAGGAGTTGGGCATGTCAGGAGCAGCAAAAGGCCCCAGTGGTGAGACCTACAGCAGAAGAAATAAGCTCTCTTCCTCATCTCTTCTCAGCTATACCGAGTTTACGGGAGTAGTTTTTGTCCAACTGTGACAAAGCTGATACCTCTCAATAAACAAATAAGGCCTTGAAATTACATTAATATGAAAGGGACCTTAGAAATAGTAGAGGGATACAAACATCAGTTGCTCATATCTCTGAGATATGAGATTTCTTGGGACCTGCTCTCATTTGCTTATGTGTATTTTTAATTAAGTAGAATTTAATTTGATAGCCCATTAGAAGTACATCCAAAGGGAACAGCTGGATGCTTCTTGCCAAGTGTTTCTATGCTTCTCTGTCACAACAGGGTGAGTTTTGCACTGTGATCAACTTTTTGTAAAATAAACAAAGCAAGCTAGCTGTAATTGGAGAGCCTACTGTTAAACCTAGGATTTTTGTAAGACACCCTTGCAGTCCAAAGTACCTTAGCTTCCATTTATCAGCTTGTGTTTGTGTGTGCTTGTGATTCAGAGGATGTTTAATCAGGGAAAAAACTGCCCCTTACCTCTATCCCTACTAATTTAATGAAAGAATCTGTAATTTTAATAGAAGATTTATTTGTACATGTTGAAAAAGGCTTTGCCTTTCATGGAAGTGACAGAGCACAGAAGGGGAGAAGTCGTGCAATGATTCTCTAGGTAAAGGATGAACTGCTTGCAGAGCTTTCTTCTGCTTTTCTTCAGAGCTTTGCTTCTATTCAGCGTCTTCCTCCTTTTCCACCCATTGCTAAGTACAAATATAAAGAGACACGTGAGAACAACTTGAAGTTGCAGTACAGGAAAATGTACAGAATATCTGAGCATTGATTACAAACTTTGCCAGGTCAGAGACTAAAGGTCTGTGTTACACTTTGAAAGACACTTTTGAAAGAAAGAACTTCAATCCTATCTCAAATTCTCTTCCAAACCCCACAGGATCCCACTACCATAATTAGCATCCTTACAAGATGCATTCAGGTACAGACTAGGCTTCCTCACACCTTGGTTTGATTTATCAAGGTGTGGGTTGCATTGACTTGTCACCCATATCTTTGTGTATTTGTGGCATCGTTATTTCCACTAATTCCCTGCCTTCAGTTTCCTGCCAGGTATAAAGCAACGGGAGAATTGTTGCTTCAAGTAGAATGCAGCCGCTTCTCTTCTTTACATCCCTTCATCTGGAAAATACACGCTTGAGCTGAAATGCTGCTGACTTCCCAGAAGTTATCTGTTAGTTCATCTTTACCAGGAGGACTCCCACTTACAGATGGACTGGACAGTGGAAGTTGTACCACCCCTGGGAGTTCCACCTCCGTGGCTTCTGGCCTCATGGGACATCATGTGGGCAGCCTGGGATCCACCGGCGATCCCGCCGCTGGTAAAACCTGTTGAATGGGTTGTGCTTCTGGCACCTAGAACAGTTCAGAAAGAGATGTCACTGACTGGAAGGAACATCATGGGGTAACTAGAAACTACCATGTTTTTAAAAAATTCAAGGCTAGCAAATGTATGAAAAGACAGGGAGACTGCTGATTACTTGACTTTTTCCATCAGTATACTGTTTTTTAGCTGCCATCTTAGGGAAAGGACATTTGCAGTGTTTTGTGGATGTTCCCAGAACACAAAGAAAAATTACAACTCTTGCACAGACTCTTTTTAACAAATTTGGAACTCCAAATCAGTTTCAGGGCAGTTTATTTCTGCTGCAATCACAGTTTTTCTGAGGAGCTGCCTGAGAACTGTGGAACAAACTCCTGCAGGAACTAAGGATTCTTGCAGACCTCATCACTTACTCTTCCAGGTGACAGATATGTTCCTTTCACTTCACTTTCCATAATAGCATAAATCTGTACATAATAGACTCTTGTAAAATTCAAATACAGCAAGCTGTGGTAGCCAGTAGCAAATTTACATGTATATCTCTATCTCAGTATAAATAAGCCCCAAGCAAAGTATTCCACTGCAAACTCTTCTTCTCCTGGGAGGAGAGTAAAACATTAGCAACAGCAAATGTGAGTGATAATGCTTAAAGCATTCCTGGAGGATGCTCAAATATTTTGGAGATGAGCTTGTTATAACAACTTCTGTAAAGTGATGCTGAACAATTCTCATGCCCTGCTGCAGAAGCAGCCGCTCCTTGGAGCGTGTTTGCTCTGAGGGGAGGAAGGGTTACAGTCGCAATGAAAAGGTTAAGAAGATGTGTTTGAAGAGTGAGAGATTTCAGCGAGCACCTGCGGAAATGAAATCAGGCCCTTTTAGCTCTCAATCAGGCAAAGAATGTGTGGCAAGCTCTCCTGCTGCAGGGAGCCAAAGCTCACACCTGTCTTGGCAATGATACAGAGCTAGCATTTTTCACATGGATAAAAGCTCTTTTGGAATATCTCCTGTAGGCACGGCTAAGGTTTCCTTGAGTCGTGCAGATTTCTCTTCACCAAAATAGTGGTTTTCATAAAAGTCCATAGCTGATACAGACACTGCAAGAATAAAACTAGGTGTTGCTGAATGTTTACTTTGCTTCTCTCTCCTCTAAAGACAGTCAGCACATAGAGGAATACAAGTCTTCAGTCTTATAGTTTAGAAACTGCAACTTGATGCTCCTGTATGATTAGATGGGGTAACTGGCACCTCCTGTGTACCAGGATTTCTGCTGCCAATGCAGCATGGTACCCAGGATCAGCTCTTCCTACTCTTCACTCTCTTGGTTCCCCTCTTCTCCCGACTCTCTCTCATATTCTGTCCCTCTGCTGCTACCACCCCTTAAGCTCTTTGCTACTGAATATTCACCAAATACTGTATTCAGTAACCTAAACTCACTGATCAAATAATACCAAGTAAAAATTAAAAAAAAAAATGCCTCACAGGAATCACAAGCGGTATCTCTCTAAATGACCCTTGTGTCACTTATTCCTTCACTGACTAGAGAGCCTCATGCTATGAATAATATTGGCAGCAATATAAATCATATCTTAAAAAATTAACTTACTCCCTCTCGATCAAGCTTATAGCATTTTTTGTTATTAAAACTTCCCCCAAATCTGGACCCAAACTGCCCATTTTATGGCTATGAGAGTCAGGTTCAGCTCCATCCTTCAGGAGACTTCTAGCTGCTCCCTACAAAAGGAGTAGACCAGCAGTTGACCACTGTGGCAGAGACCCCCTCCCTATAACCAGCCTGCTGGTTAGCACACTCCTGACAAGTGGGAGACGTGGGTCCAAGACCCCTAAGGCAAAAAGGCTTTTTGAAGACTTCATCTGAGGTCTGCCAGCTAACTACTGTACTGCTGGGCAAAGCAGGATTACATGGGGCATTCTCCTCTGTGGAGTTATGCCTGCTCAGAGGATGCCTGCTGATTTAGGTCCCACAGGGAGGACTGGCAAGGCAAATCCCTTGTGCGCGAATCCCGTGGGTTAAACGACTGTCGAGCTGCTTAGAGTCATCAGGTCAGGGATTGCTCTGTGCATGCAGCAGAAGAGCGAGCACCTGCAGGGCTAGTTCCCCTGCAAGCCAGCTATGCCTGGTTTTAGTACTTAGGTATGTGCTGTTTGGGGTGTGTGTGTATCCATCCCTTTGTGAATTCAGCTCTTGGGCTGTAGCTCTTTCCCCTCTGCTAGAGTGTTTGCATAAGGTTTTATGGGCTCTCCCTGTATGGATGTGTGTGAGTGAAGAGCAAGGGAAATCTGATCATCTGTATGAAATGCAGGTAACACAGATCATGTTCTTGCATAAGTGTATTGTTGCTTAGTGCTACCATAACTTCCCGTATTATTGATGACTCCTAGCAGAGTGGAGAGAGCACAAGCTGCAAATAAACACTGTCCTGAATCTCACGAATACCACACGTGTATGTGTACATTCATGCACATGTACATACACAGAAAACACCCGTAACAGCATCCCAAGCCTAACATGCAGTTAAATATAGGAATCATTTTTGTGCAGTGCAAGGCAGGAACGTAGGAGAAAAAAAAAAAAAAAATTACTTGGCAAGCTCATTTTTCAAGGGAAAAAAAATTGTTTGACCCTATGCACACAACCACACACACACACACACGAGTCCTACCCAGTTCCTGGAGCGTGGCAGTGGGGCCCCCGGAGTGCACGCCTCCCCCCGAGGCTCTCGCCTCCTGGGCCATCAGCGAGGAGGCG